TGTGAACTGGCTACTTCTCAGTGTGCCCCTGGATGATTGTGATTTGAGGAAGGTCCTCTCTCACAGAGGCACACAGTACATATTTCTGACTATTAGCTGGAAACCTAGAGGTCTGATGGGCTGTTAGAGAGGGAAATGATCCTGTCTGCACCATTCAATGTATCACAGACCAGCACTTGGGAGAATGAGATAGTCCATTTCTCTTCCTCTTGGTGTCAGGTGCCCCTCCTCCCTAGGAGAATCCTTAGCACCTCAAAGAGTTGATGCTGGCAGGGGCAGTTGCATCTTCTTGGCACCTTCTTGGCTTCATCTCTTACTGCTGTTGATCTTTGTCCACTAACCCCATGGAGTAGTATGGATCTCATTCTTGGAGGGTGAGGCTCAACATAATAAATAAAATGGGGGGAGGGGAATAGAAAAAGGAGCACTTTGACCTTATTTCCTGTAAGATGCCTGAGGAGGTTTCTCAACATATTTGAGACAAATCTCCTGTTAAATATACTTGGACATTATTAACTTCTGCTGATCTATTGACATATTAAGGATATGCCACAATCCCTTCTCTTTCATTCTCCTCTCAGGATTGTGGGCATGCACACACACCCACCTGATGTGAGTTTTAAGTCGCCAGGTCCAGGACTCAAACTGCAGTCAACTACATGGAAGTCCAGTGACATAATCATTGCACCATCTGCTAGTACCAAGAATTACATTTTTAATATCTAAATTGTCCAAGTTAAAAAAGAGACAAAATAGAGACTCTATTGCAGTAGTATATGCTGTTTGATGCTGGTATTCAGTAGGCTGAAGCCACAAGGGAGGCCTGGCCCACCTTAAAAGCAGCCTTGATGGTGAAGATGCATATGCCCAGCTATTTGAGAGACTGAAGCAGGGGAAATCACAATATTTACAAGATCTATCTTGAAAAAAATAATAATAAAAAGAAAGATAAAGTTGAGATCACTATCACCCACTTGGATATAAACCCCAGTCTCTCTCAGTCTGATTGGGACACCTTAGAAAAAGTGTCCAACAAAACACTTGGTACTTCCAGGAGCTTATAAGGTAAACATTCAGAGAGAGAGATAGAGAAAGAAATAGCAGAGTTATGAGCCATCTGAAAGATTTACTTAAGAGATATAAAAAAGAAAGAGAGTTGAAGAGGAAAGGGACTGATTATCTTGCCTAGAGACTCAGTCCCTTTCTCTTACTCCTTTTCCTCTTGTCAGCTAAAGACACAAATTAAGACCAACTAAAAGCTTAAAACAGAAAAACCAAGAGCAGGGTTTGGTGGGAGGGAAGACAGATGCTTTAGGTGACTGTAAACCCCAGAGGATAAGAAAAGGAACTTTAACCCTACACTATGTGTTAATTGCAAAACAAACCCTGAGATGCAGAGGAAGCAATTAAGATTAGTAGCTAAGGAAGTCTGATACCACATGACCAACCATAGTTGGAATCTCAGCCCTGGCCACTTGAAAAATCTGTCAGACGTGTGTGCATGCATGCCCAATATCCCAACAGGATGGAGGGATGGAGAAATGGAGAAGGGATTTTGGTGTGATCACACCCCGTTGAGAAATGCTTTCTCTAAAGACTAAATATTGGAAAACTGCTCATAGTGTGTGGGAATCAGAGCAGGGACAGCAGATGGCAAGTCCCAGGAGGCCTGGCCTTTCAGTAGCATCAGCCTGCAGCCATCCTCTCTTCCTAAAATTTTAACAGCCTGTCCTTCCCCAAGCACAAGTCCTGCTTCTATGAAATCTTCTACTTGATTTATATCTATCCAGTCTCCCCAACTACTTTCTTATTCAGTCTTTTATCCATTCATCACTCAGTAGTCGGTCATTCCATGATTTTTGAGTCCCTACCATGTGCCAGACCCAGCCCCTACCTTAGCTGCTCAGTGGAAAATATTGACCCTCCCTGCCCCAGAACCCTCCTTCTGCATTAGCCACCATAGAGCTGGGCATGAGGCTGATGAGTTGTCTTTGATGAAGTTATTGCAAGGATTGCAGGATCCAAATCAACTGTGGAGGGTCTCAAGAGAACAGTCCACTAAACTAATGCTCTCTTCCCTTGCTGGGATTTTTTAATCCAGTTCACCACCTCCTTTGACCTCATGAACCAGGTTTAAATTTACATGAGCTTTCAGCCTTCCTTTGGTCCAGAAGGAAGGCAAGTAAAAATGGCAACACTTCTTTCTTTTCTTTTTTTTTTGGAGAGGTTTTTGCTATAGGGCACATGCACTCGCCAGACAGACAGAGAGAGACAGAGAGATAGAAAGCGAGAAATCACCCCCAGAGGGGATGGCCATGCTGCAATCCCTTCTCCTCCATTCTCCTCTCGGGATCTTGGGCACGCACGCACACGCGCCTGGCGTGAGTTTAAGCCACCGGGTCCGGGACTAGAACCGCGGTCGACTATGTGGGAGTCCAACGACATAACCATTACGCTAACTGCTGGTCCCGCAACACTTCTTTCTATAGTTTTTTTTCTTTTTCTTTTTTCCTCAAACTCACCTAGTCTTACAAGGGTGAAAATTACTAGTTATATTATATGTCTTTTTCAGTCAGAAGCATGGAGAGGTTTTTGCTATAGGGCACATGCACTCGCCAGACAGACAGAGAGAGACAGAGAGATAGAAAGCGAGAAATCACCCCCAGAGGGGATGGCCATGCTGCAATCCCTTCTCCTCCATTCTCCTCTCGGGATCTTGGGCACGCACGCACACGCGCCTGGCGTGAGTTTAAGCCACCGGGTCCGGGACTAGAACCGCGGTCGACTATGTGGGAGTCCAACGACATAACCATTACGCTAACTGCTGGTCCCGCAACACTTCTTTCTATAGTTTTTTTTCTTTTTCTTTTTTCCTCAAACTCACCTAGTCTTACAAGGGTGAAAATTACTAGTTATATTATATGTCTTTTTCAGTCAGAAGCAGTCCCAGAGCACTGACCTTATGAATTCCAGGAAATGTACAGGCAGGCTTTTCCCATTCCTTTCCATTTGCACCACCATACCATAAATCCTTTGGTCATAACAAGAACTCTCCCACTGATGGAGAATGAAGTGTCAATGCTGCACCTAAAGCCTGAAACTAAATACCTGGGATAAAGTTACTCTGTTTAAGCAACTGCTCATAACTCAGAGGTAGACAGACTGGTACCCTGGGCTCCAGGCAAAGGTTGTTTTATGCAATTTTTAAAAATTATGCCCATTGAGACACTGATATTTCCACACACCACAGCCACTTTTGTCATAGTATATCTTCCATCAAGTAACACAAGAACACAGCATGAGTATTGAGTATTTTGACACTCTTTATCTGTGATAAAATTCTGATTTAATAAACTGTGTTTTGTGTGTATGTTTGCATATGTGCAAGTAGGGTGTGCCCATGTGGAGGAATATTTAAGTACATATGCGTTGTGCATTTGTACATTTCCCCAAGCATATTCACCAATGTGAGTCCATGGAAACACGTGTGTGTACTGGAAAGCATGGTTTGCTAGCTTGAGTTATGAAGTGCCCTGAAAGTACACAGATGATGAGAAGCATCACAAATGCAGACAACAGTGTAGCCACCTCCTGTGTGTCATACCCATTCCACCTCAGTGCCTTTGGATGTGAGACCTCATCTGAAGAAGTGTTCTCTCTCCCTCCAGACCTTTGACCAGAG